CTTGCATGCAGCGATTTTAGGCAACTTGATTTTGATTCCAGAAAACAGAGAAATGGTCATTTTAAATTAGTGCATACTGATTAAGCTTCCCATATTATGTTGTTACTCAGATTTACTCCCTTAAGCGAGATTGATTAAAATGGAGTAAGGAACACTTTCTTGATTTCTCTTATCAAGTTTTTTTTTTTATTCAATACATTAGGTTTCCTTTAAGGTAGTTTTTTTAATGTTTCCTCTGCGATATATTTGACTATGGAGGAATGGCGATCATTGTCTTTTTTTCCCTTGAATAAAAATAACCTTCAACCACTCTCTCCATAAGGGTTATCTTTATTCCATTCATCATGTTTCTTCTCATAGCAGATTCGTTCAAATGAAATATTGGTTCGTGTTGCAGCCGATGCCAGTGATACTAGATGCTCTTTGCCGCAAGCTGATTGCTCCCACCCGAACGCCCCCATTAATGCAAATCTGACGCCGTCTTTCGCCCCCTACTCTACTTCGTCCCAGACTTCCTATCTTCAATGCTCCGGTACCACAACTCATCCAACTAACTCTACCAATCAAACATGCCATTTTTCACCTCCCAGATGTGCCGTAGGTACTGTTGGAGGGATCTGGCAACAAACAAATAATCAACCCATTCTTAGCAATGACATAAGTAGTCCTTGTGTTACCTCTGACAACACCAGCACTTTTGGGGCCACCGGAAGCCTGGATAGCAAAGATATAGAATCTCTATGCTCGCCAATCAGCCTGCAGACATCTTCAGCGGTATCAACGTCGACAATTCAACTCGTTAATCAATCTGTGTCAGGCCAATTACAATCTGAAGTATCGATTGGCAACAATGGGGCATCGCCCGCTCAGCACCAAGCTCCTGAATCATCTAGATGGGCCAGTCTGGCCATTTCACAACCTAATGTTGGGTCTCCAGCACCGGGGTCAGCAGTTGGAAGCTACGTTGCTCGAAATAGCACTGTTGGGGTATTGGATGTGAAGAGTGAGCCAGCTATAGCTTTTGCCTGCTTGTGGGCCTTTGAAATTTCGGTATGTGTTTTTAGAGAACTCACAACAAATGATATTTTGCCATTTACTTCCTCTTGGTAATTGGTCAAGTTGACACATTTGGGATCAAAGCACCATGGAAAGCGCCCACCTCAAACTTTGCTTGTTTTTGTAAGCCATTTAAATAGTTAAATTATACAAAATAATTTATTTACTTTAGTAACATTTAATCCTAGCCACTTACGAATATGCCTGTGAACTTGGGGTTGTCACTACAACGTAAAAGTCTCTATGGCATATGGAAACCAAAGTTCCCTCGCTAAATGCCCTGGAATAATTTCAGGGAACTCATATTTTTGCTACGTTAGCATTGCCGAAAGGAAATTCATGAATTTAGGCG